CCTGAGAGGTACAGTGTTTATAGTGTGGTGTCAAATCACTCTTGCTACTAAGGATACACTAAAAATGGATAGCCAGTAAATTACCAAGCAATACAAGAATGCAATTAAAAAAATAAAGCAGATTACAGTGAAAATGCAACATATTGTAAGAACAGGAAACAAAAAGGAATCTGAACTCTTGCCCACAGCCCCTACCTCCAGCTTACCTTCCTTGACCGTGTTTTCCCCATGGCTGTTGGAGTGGTCTGGCAGGTCACTCACCAGGGTGTGATGAGAGTGAGAGTGTCTGGCACTCAGGCTTTCCATTTCTGTGGCTGCATCCGAACTGCCCCGCCTGGTCAATTTCCCTGAGATAGACAAGAACACCACAGTTTTTAAATCTGAAAGCTTCTCTGCTGAGAGTTTATTTTTGCAAAGAACGGTGATGAGAGTGAAGGGTCTATTTGGGAGAAAATGAAGCACAGATAAAATAGCAAGAATTGAACTTGCCTTGGGGATGTTCAGGGTCAAGATGATTGATGTAGCTGCCTATGATAAGGTCAGCCCTGATATAAGACAAATGTCAGAAGCCATCTGTTAGGGACCTGCTAGCTGTCAGCTCCTGGTTTGAAGCTGGCCTTCCTAATATGCTATCCAGAAAGAAAAAAAAAAGTTTCTTTTTCTTTACTTTGTTTCTTCCCTTCTTAAATATCAGGGTTAAATAAAAGTCTGTCTTTAGATTTAACATGAAATTTAATGCACAGAATCCTCTAAAGCCTAGACCAATCTAAGAAATAGGGCCATCACCTGTCTAATTATACAGTATTTGTAGCATAATTAATTCACTTATCTGCATTTCTCTAAGCTGTGAAGACACAGCATTATCTTATTCATGGGGAACCTGCATTTGGGCCCAGATTTCTTGACTGAGCTGTTCAAGATAGATCCAGACTTGCCTGGGAATCCTAGATCTAGATTCCTACATAGGTCACTCAAGTTCTGCTCTACTTTGGAAGGATTTTGTGGTCACCTAAAATGGTGGTCTGCCAGCCTCCCTTTTCGATGCCTCGCTTGTCTTCTCCAAGCCCAGAAAAACTTCCAAAGGAGAATGTGCTGCGGGTGGGAGACACATCCAGGTGGTCCTCGTGAAGCAGAAATGGCACCCCCATTCTTCGTGGTCTCCTCTTCCCAGTGTGGTGGAATGGGATGGAGCCTTTCCTCTCTCGGTCTTCTTTGCGGCTCTTGAACTACAATGTTGAGGGACCAAGGATTAGGCACAGGGCAAAGGAACGTTTACAGTTTGCTTTGTAAGAGACTGAATGGTCTGTGGTAAATATGGAAATATTCTAGAAAGAGGAAACCCAGAAAGTCAAGGAATGTTTTGCAATGACAATGGGAAACATTTCCACAATGTGCTAAAAATGTAAAAGAAACTGGGACCAACAGATTGCATAAAGGTTACATCATTGGACTCCCACATAGTCAGTTGTTGTTTTGTGGCTTAAAACTCATGCCCCAAATTCCAGGAGGAGAATGGGGGAGAAGGGATTCGGGTGTGGCCATCCTCCCTGGGGGATGATTTCTCACATTCCCTCTCACTGTCTCTCTTGCTCTCTGGCAAACACATATGCCTTATGACAAAAACCTTAAAAACCAAAATTCTCTTGCAGCCAGTATTAAAAACCTCTTCCCTCCTCAAATGATCAGTATTTTTAGCAAAACAATGGCCATTGCCTATCTTTGCATTATTAATAAAAGTAGGCATAATGGCTTACTTAGCAACACTCTGAGCTCATAGATAAGTTAATAATTTTTTCTGTATTCTTCATCAACGTAATTAAACTAATAATTTTATAAAGATAAAATGTTACTACATATATAAGTGTATGCATATTATTTTTAATTTAAGTATCTATATACTCATTTTAAAAAGGAACTGCAATGATAGATTCAGAAAAGCATAAACTATTTCCTTAGAAGACCTACTTTTTCAATTTCAATATGAGGTTGACTTTGTGGTAGAACTTCATCTTTGGCAAGCCACTTAAAGTTTCTAAGGGACAATTTCTTATCTGTGAAATGGTGAAAGTAAGGATCTCATCAAACTAAATGAGATATATTTATATAAAGTACTTGATAAAATGAGTTGAACTGTACAAATGTAAGTTCCCATTATTGTATCATGATGCCCTCAAGCTCCACACTACAGTAAATGCTTTGTGCACATCACCAGGACTGAGTTTTGTCACAATCCTTCGAGACATTTAGAAGACGAAGCTGCACGTACACATTCGGTCTTGCTGCAAGCCATTATTATAACTAGCAGCTGATTTTCTTGTTTCTGTGGTCTCTTTCCCACCATTCCCATTACTGCCGTATGATCAGAAATATGTCATGCTTCACTGATTTTTTTTTTTTAAACTACCAAAATATCAAAGTGCATAAGGTTATACTCACCTTCTTAAAAATGTTCATGCCCAGGTCTGAAGAAAGATCTGGAACCGCAGACCTGCGCAGATTGGTCAATGAAACCTTGGAAAAGGCCTCCGGGCTAAGAGATTTTTCCTCTTCATTACACTTCATGGTGAGGTCCTTCATATATAATAAAAGTAGATAATAATCAAGGACTTAGTTTTTTTAAATTAAAATACAGATCCTCTTTTTATTGAGTTGTCACTTTTTAATAGGGATATGTCTACCATTTTGATATCTATATGGTATTTAACTTGCATGTCTGGAGTTTCAGAATCCACGTTTTGCTACTGAGGAGATATATTTTGTATTAATTGTAACTTTTGTTTAAGGAGTTTCAGCAGTAAAGCCAAGAAGCTAGAGATCTGGAATGTGAAGAATCTAGGGAGCTGGTGGGTATCTCTTTTTATATTTTATTAAAAAAGGAGTTTTTCTATTTAAAGATTCATCAAAGGAAATATTAAATTTTGGACAGTCTGTCTACTATTAAAGCAGAGTATATCTCTCTTTCACTCTGATACTGCTCATGTGTATTTTCAGAAGATGCATAAGAATTCACCAGATTCAGTTAACTAGCATTTAACTCTCAAACAACTGAGACACACTGCAAGTGACATCTTTTTTTCTCTACATTTTATACACGTGGTGTTGAGGAGAAAGAGGGGACTGACAAATATTGAAGCTGACATTAGGACATCCATTTGTCAAAAAGCAATTTTCTTGAGAATGTCACTACAACTGTACATATTCAGTTTATTCCACAAACCTCTCTATCGAATAGCAAAAGCATATATCAAAAAGCAATATTCCTAACGCTAACTGAGATGCTGGAAAATTTTGAGTTCTATAAGAGGTTAAATCATATTCAGTGAAATGCCAGCATCACAAATTTGATGGTATTTGTAATCAACAGATTAAATATCAGAACCCTCTATTTCCTAGTACTTTTTACTATCCAGAACAATCAGTCTACTATTCTAGATAACCAAGAGCTTACACTAAATTAACATGTGTAAGATGTTTACTTCTAAGATGGAGATTTTCCTTCGTTACACTTCATGGTGAGATCCTTCACATATAATAAATTTTGCTAAAAAACAGCGAAAGGATCCAACAAAGAATGGTGGAAGGGAAAGCATATTTCCAAGGGGTAATTCACAAGCCAAATAGTCAACACTGGTATACATACGAGCTGGACGCACAGAAGAGAAAAAGAAAATCTTATGGCCAAAGGTGTTGGAAAATGACTGTGAAATGAGTATCTCTTACTTGGGTTTTGTGTGTGTTCACTAGTGAGGGAGCTGCTGCCACCATTGAGCTACTCCTGGGTCTGGGTAGGAGAGGAATATCTGGTTCTGGGGGTTTTTCTGGTTTCTCTTCCAGCATGTGTCGCAGCCTTTGTAGATAATACATCAGAGACCACTGAGTGCCTTCTTCTGACCAATGCGGCTGAAGTAGGCAGCGGAGAACAGCAACATCAAAGTAGGTGGCATAGCGGGACCTTTGGCATGGAGGTATCACCAGAGAGGCCCTGTACCCAATGGCAGAAAGAAGGCAATTAGTTATACTAGCCATCAAGCGTTTCTAAGGGTAGTACAACATGGCTCATCACTCTTCTTTTCTCATTTGTTCATTTATTTATTCACTTATTTCTTGTCTGGTTTACTCTAATATCCTCCTAACTGGTTTTTGTTTTTTTTTTTACTTTTTCTGCTTTCATTAAACATTTCATAGAAGTAGAGACATTGAGAGAGTTTGGCAAGATGGACAAGAAAGAGCCAGGCGAATTTGTGCAACAGGAAGATGGATTGGCATTTCAAAGGGAAGGATGCTTACAAAGGTATGGATTTTAAAAATCATCAGTTTGGAGCAGGTCATGAGTAATTGGTATAATTGGTGAATAATTTGAGTGGTGGATATGGAAAAAGTCAGCGTCACAGAGATGAGGTTCAGATCAGGATGTTTCTTTTTGACTTTTACTCCAATAGAAATAGGAGTGATATTTGTCTTGCCTACTTCATTGGGCTATTTTAATTTCAGTTGTGAACATTTTATGTAAAACAACTAAGGAAACTGCAAAGTGCTGACCATTCAAAAGTTTTACTATGATAAAAAAATGTATATATATATATATATGTAAAATAGGTAAATTAATGGAAAAGTATCTCAAGGTTCTTGAATTCTATTACTCAGTTTGAACATGTTCATTACTTAGTGTTTAATTTAAATCTACAAAACAGCTTTAAGCAATTACTCATAGTAATACATCACCTTAGACATTTTAGGTGCAATGGATTGAATATATCTGTCAAAGTGCATGCATAGAAATCCTAACCCTCAATGTGATGGCACTAGAGGATAGGTCCTTTGGAAGGTAATTAAGTCATGCAAGTGGATTCTGTTATGAATGGGGTTAACATCAAAAACAAAACAAAACAGGGGCTGGCAGGTGGCATGGCAGTTAAGGGCAGTGAACTCCCACATGGCCGATGGCGATTTGAGTCCCAGACCTTGTGGCTTGCTTTCTTGCTTTCTCTCTCTCACTGTCACTTGGTCCCTCCCTGGTCAAATTAAAATAAATAAGTAAATAAATAAATGAAGTTAAATGAAATAATTATTTAAAAACAAACAAGCAAACAAACAAACAAAAAAACCCAGAGAGGTCATTTGCTCTCTTTCGACCATTTGAGGGACACAATGAGTCTACTCAGTCTACTAACTGGAAGGGCCCTTGCACCCTGATCTCTGACTTCCAGCCTCCAGAACTGTGGGTCATAAATTTCTATAGTTCATAAGCCACCCAAGCTATGGCATTTTATTATAACAGCCTAAACTAACATATTCATAGATATGAAGGTAAGGTATGCTTCTTCACCTTGAATATATGGTCCAGCAG